TTTAATGAGCACACAAAATATTATACATTTAATTAATATTTTTAATTCCCTTGCCACAATCATAGCCTTGTGGGTTTCTGTTACGGCAATTTCCCCCAAAATTTCACATAAATACTAGATGTATTTGTATGTGTAAAATATAAGTAATGAAGAACACAAGAAATCTTATTGTTGTGAAATTTATTATACCTCCTTCGTTTACAAAATGTTATAAGGGGAACCTTAAAGTGTTGCATGGTATAACGAAACTCAAATAATATTTTTTGTTTTTTTTTTTCAAACTTATTGCAAAATTAATAATAAGACATCTTTGCTAGCAAACATTTCCCTAGAAATTTTCGCAGGGAAAATAATATTTGAGTACCGATGTAAGTCAATTTCAAATGAAAATTGGTTAGAATTTTTTGGAGAAGGCAAAATTTTTGTGAAATTCATCAAGTTCGAGATTCAAATCAACACATTTTATAAAATTCATCAACACATTTTATAAAATGTGTTTAATTAAAATGTGATATATAAAATGAAATAAAATACTAAAGAAAATATTTTCTCCTAGAAATAAATTTCTTTCCTGAAACTTAATAAACTAAATGGCGCCGTAATTTATGCAATATTTGGAAAAGTTAAAATTTAATAAGAAAAAATGTTTGCACAAATATTTCTCTCAATCATACTTAGATTTTGTAATAAATTGAAATTTATTGTTTAAAAGAGATATGGTCTTAAACTTACATATATACAGAATAAAGAATATTGGTTGATAATATTACTCTATGTGGTATGACCTAATAAAAATTCTTAAATATAATGTTGTCTATATACATATATTTTAAAAAAATTTCATTGCTTTCATTTCGACTCTCAAAATTTATTGTTTTTTTTTTTCATTTCAAATCTATATTTATACCACAAGGAAATATAAATAAAAACTATAATAAAAATAAGTATATAATATAAAATCAAGAAATGACTTTTAACCTCGTATAAAAGTTTTACAAAACAAACCTATAAGAAAACCCTAAAGTCTAATAAAATTGCTTTAAAAAGAATGGTTAAAAAAAATTTATTTTTTCCTAGATTTGTACAAGAATAAGATTACATATAGCTTGTATAATATTTTAGCATATTATTAGCAAAAAGAGTTAAAATTTAACTAGAGAAATGGGACTGAACTGCTCTTTCAATTTATTTATATATATGACATATGTAGCTATATACATATATAAAAATACAACTACATCAATTATTTATACAAAATATAATTCTTAACAAATTCCTTCCTTCTTCTTGTAATAAAAGTAATTCTTATTTGTATAATTATTTGCAATCTTTTGGGGTTATGGAAGAGAATTATTTTCTTTAACTAGATTTACATCTAAAATTTACTTTATCTTTTTATTTAATTTTAATTTTTTTGTAATCTTCTTACATAAAAATTATATAAAATATGTTTATCATAATGTATATGTATACGTATGTGTTAATGGGTATATCCTTTTCTTATATAAGGGGTATTTATTTTTATAATAATCAACTGTTTTATACAATTCTCATTTGTATTTTAACCCTTAGTTTTGTGTTATTTTTTGATTTGTTTGTTTGTTAAAGTTTCATTTAATAAAATGTACAATATTGGCAATATATAAGCTTATATTTTGTGTTTATATTGTGCATAGTAATTATATTACATATAGATGTCAGCAATTCAAGGAATTTTCGACCCCAATAATTATAAAATAATTTTTATTTTTTCCCATTTATTGTACAATCTGAATTCTGTTTTGCGGAAGTAAACATAACATTTGATTGCTGTAATCTTTTATAAGTTGATTTGTGTATAAATAGGCCCGAAAATATAAATAAAAGGTTTTATGAAATATGTCGAAAATCCTGGAAAACCCTCTATCAAACGAAAGAAAAAAATTAAATATTTTGAAAATAATAGAAAAAACCCGGCTAATTCATGTTACTAAGAATTTTGTTTGAAATATTTTGAAAAATAAAAAAGTTCCTTTTAATTTACGATCTACATATACATACTTGCAATAAACGATTTTCAAATTTTCGAAAATATTATTTTCAGATTGTTTCAAAATTTTGAAAAGGTGGGATAGAGAAAAAGAGAAAGTGTGGGATTGTATTCTTTAAACTATTCCTTGTGGTATTGATAAATTCCAATCTTTCAGTGTAAAAACAAGGACGCAATTATATCGCAGCATTACATGCCACCTTGATTTTTTGAGGCGTATCACTATGGAATCAACTTTAGTATGTATATGTAAGGCAGGACCGCCACAGTATTGAAACTACTTTATATTTTGTAGAATACATAATTTGAACTATAATAAACATGATGAACTTTACTTCTGAGCACTTAATATTTTCTACCAAGTACGCATCAAATTTTGTTTATCATATTATTATTTAATCAGCTACAATTTAAAAATTCATTTTTCACAGTCAAAATTTTAAAATTTTAAAATTCCGGCAACATAAAACTCCAAAATTTATGACTCATGTACTTGAAGACTGACATTTTCAATTTCAAAAGGTTTTTGTGAATCAGTATTAGATTTCTGTGATTTTCAAGCACTATGTATATACTTAAAGAAAATATAAAAAAAGTTTGACTTAAATTTCCTGAAAGTTATGACACAAAACAATTTCTTGTTAAGTATAAATAATTGCATATTTGAAATAATCAAATCATTTATTACAAAATAAGCAAACAATTCTAATAATATCTAACATTTTTTAATACCTTCTGTTGGACGCATTTATTCCCAAACCCGGGGATAACTATCTTAAATAACTACTACAGCAATATATTTTAATACATGTCAGGCTAACACATACGTACATGAAATACATACAGAAAATTTCCACCTATCTAACCTTTAAAATCATTACAATATTCACACATAAAATTAAAATACCTAGTTTAAGGGAAATGACACCTAAACTTGAAATAATTTCCGGTATTTTAGGGTAGAATCATTCCACTAAAAAGGATCCAAATCTAAAATACATGGATTGAAAATAAATTTTATTCTACGTTATACTATAATTGAAAAAATTTATTACATACCAGGATGTTTTTTAAAACAATTCAAAATATTCGTAGAAAGTCCTTGTGTAAGGATTTAAAATTGAATTCTTTGGTGTGTAAATTTTTTTAATTTTTTGTTTAAAATAATTTTATAATATTTAAAATAGAGTAAAAAGGGTGTTTAGTTTTATTTTTATCAAACTATTTCATTTACAAGAAAAATAATTATAACACTAGTATATTAAATGCGGTAAGTAATAATTCGGGGGGAGGGGTTATATTTTCGTTCTAATTTTTTAAGTGCGTTTAGAATTCATATGGATTCCGTGAAATCATTTTGATTTAGGATATTGGAGTTAGATGTTGAATTTATGGAAAAGAATTTGTTTTATTTACAATACACTTGTGGTTACGTTTTTTTTGGATTTGTTAAAAGTCTTAAAATTGAAGACATCACTAATCAAAACGTACACAATAGTCAATCACATATTAAATATTTTTTTAATACATAAAACAGCATGCTTGTGTGTGAGTAAATTGTAGTTCTAAACGTTTGTTTAAACATAAATATGTACATACAAACATACATACATATATTGTTATTTATTTTGTTATTTGTTTATACTTTATAAATTAATCTTGTCTCCTTTTGCCGTTCCACCCATTTTAGTTATTCTAATATAAAAAAATTTTATTTTTTATCTTTTATATTTTTCGTTGTTTTTACTTTCACCGTTATTTATACTTTTTTTCTTATTTTTTTTTTTGTTTTTTAAATAAACTAAACTTATTTTCTCCTTCCTTTTTTTTTTATTTTACAATAACAAATGTACAAGAACATTTCAAATTGCCCATTATGCTTATCCTCAAGGTGCAATTAAAAATCCAATTATTCTTTACAGGAGTATTACGTTAATATAGTTGTATGTGCCTTAAATATACCTACATATGTAAGTATGTATGTATGTATATATTTTGTATGATTTTTAATGTAAGTGTACATAATAAGATATGCATATTATGTATGTATGTATTTTATAAATAAATATTGTAAATAAATATATAAACAACGTAATGAAAGACATTTTTTTTATGATATATATAACGCTACACATATGCATGTCAATATTAAATTGGTACAAATGAACAGTAAGTATGTACGTATATGTAGTGGATGCATATTATAAATAATTTTTTAAGTTTTTAAAAAGTTGCCAGATTTTCTCTTTTTGCGTATCTAATTGTTGTCTAGAATTTTATTTTTTTTTTTTTAATTGTACAAACGCTGAATAAAGCTAAGAGAAAGATTATTCTCAGAGCAATAATTTGAAGCAAATTTTGTGCTATAAAATCACGTAACAATTACATGTGTTTCAAATTACACATTCTGTTATTAAAAAGGGTCAATTTAGAATATAGAACTTATTTCTTTATTTACTCTTCTAATAAAAATGATTTTTGTTATGAACACCAACTGAACAATTTCAACAACTGAACTTCTTTTACAATAAAGGAAATATTCTTTATGCATGTGTAAGTTTCTTGTGCTCAGTTAAAGTGATTTTCCCTTAAATTTCATATTTGTAACAATTAATAACGTTTTCGTAGATCTGAATCGACTGGAATATAACTTGCTGATTGACAAAATAAAAATTTGTTTTTGAAATAATTACAATTAGTTTTCGTAGTTGTATGGCAATTATTTGAACCTGTCTAACCATTCCACAAAAGATCTATGCATATGTGTTGCCTATAATTGGGCACAAAACTAACAAGTTTCAAGAACATAACTTTGCTTTTTTATTGATAACGCCACAAAAATATAACTTTTACATAATTTTATTTTTAAATATTTAACGGGTCTGTCCAAAAAAGAAGCACTTTGTGGAAGTTTGGTGGTGTTTGCTTTATAAGTTTGTGAGCTATCGCGAGATCGGACGGCCGAATGGAAATGTTTAAATCGACGCAGAATATTTCCGTTGGGCAAGAATATATGCACATATCCGTACCGCATACGATTCCTGCAAGTGCGTACAAACTCCGTACCAAAGTTATTACACCTTTCTCGAAGATGCAGAGTATAAAAAAGAGGAAATCAAAAATTAATAATTTTACTTTAAAAGACATAAAGAATTTTAAAGAAATAATTAGAAAACTTTCTATAAAGTCAGTAAAATTGTCTGTTTAAATAAAATTTTATGTTATTTTCAAGGCAGTAGCAAACAGAAATATGCAATTTTCTAAACGAATATTGGAAAATGTCATTTCCGGTGGCATATACATGCTAATAACATCATTAGTTTTACATTCAAGTTTATATTTTGAAATACATTTAATTGAACGTTTAAAATAGTTGAAAAAAAGCATTTAATGTAGCCGCAAATCGATTTTCACTTTTGACATCTATGAAAATACAAGAATTTATTCTTAACAATTTGCTAGAATTTTAATTGAAAAAATTGCCTAATGAAAAAATTTTGTAAATATGATCTACTGATCGTTCTTCTTTTTTTTCTGAATAAGTTGGTAACCTCTTTCTTACTAATATATTTATTTTCATCCTTAAAATACATGTTGCCTTTAATACCTTATTATTTTAGGTTTATATGATGATGATTATGATGACGATGATAATGATGATGATGCGTTATCCTTATTCATTACTTGAATCCCCTTTCTTCCCTTTTTTTCTCTTTTTTTTTATTTTTGTTCTAATTTTGTTCTCATTTTTTTTTCTTTAAAAATCCTCTATATATACTCGTATTTCTGTTTGATTATTGTTAGACAAACAATAATGTAAATGCCACTATACTAAGCATACCTATGCACAATATAATATTATGTAGAATACAAAATAAAAATAAAAGAAGAAAATAAAAAAAAACATAAAAGAAAAATGATTTGAAGAGAAAATGAAAGGGGATATTAAGGGTCAGGAAGCCTAAAATAACTCTTATAAACTTTTCCATTTTCATTTTTTCTTTTAATGTTTTCATAACAAAAACCAAAAAAAAAAATTACAGAAAATTACTTTACATATTATAGGTACCCACACATCCATATCACATATACATACATATACGTTTAGGTAATTTACATTTCTATAAATAATATGTAAATACCGTATATGCCCTCATACATAATAATATTGTATAGGATTCAAGAAAAGGAACTTAATAAAAACTGGGTATAATTTACACACACTGAAATCAACTCCCCCGAAAAGAAATATAGGAGAAAAAAAAACAAAACAAAAACTTCCTTTAAATAAACCTTATGTTATATGAAAATTGTTTTTGTTTTTCATTCACTTATTATTTTATTGCGAAAATTGAGTTCATCTTACTCAATAAAAATAAGACATATGTGTACAATTTAGAAGTTGCTAAAATCTGTAATTAATTCTTATAGTTACCTCCTTTGTTGTTGTAAATTTCTTTGAATTTTTTTGTTTGTTTTTATTTTTCAACATCATAAAATATAAATGAAAGAATTCCTGACCATTTCTTCCCAATACACTCGTTATAATACGAAAAAAACAAGAACTCTATAATAATATAAAAGTTTAAGAATTCTTCAAAGTTTCGTAGTTATTTTAGTTTTCCTTTAGAGGCTAAAAACACAATATATTTGTATTATGTATAAAAATATTTTTGTATATACGTTATATTGCATATACGAGTAATAGTGTATGTTAGGCATATTTAGCTAATAGGAAAGAGAAAATAAAAGTATCAAATGAAAAGTTTTAACAAGGAAATTTTCTTTTCTGCTATTCTCATTTTCCATGTAAGAACCAAAAAAATATATCATGTATTTATTTTAGTTTTATATTAAGTTTAATGCACACATACACACATGCATAATTATATGTATTGCAATGTACACACATATATGTATATGCGTGTAATATAAGCGTAAATTATTTAGGCACTTATTTTTATTACTAAATTGAATCATTACTATTAAACAAAACCTTTAGTTAAAATACAACAAAAATAAGAAAAATATAAAAATAAATAAAAACGAGAAAAAAAATAGAGTTGACCTTGTCAACTCTGTGATACTCGTACGAATTTGTTATCCTATGTGCGAATAACTAATGTGCCATAACTAACTATGGGGCCAGACTATGACTTTAAGTTGCCGTATTACCACATTAAATTATGCAAAATTTTTTCAATACTGTTTGTGCCAAACTACTATTGAAGTTGTATGGCAGCTACCAGAAAGAGCCAAGAAATTTTAGCGAATTTTATGAAGTACATCGGCCCTGCTAATATATTCGTTTGTGTGAAATTTCAATACCACAGCTTTTATAGTTTCTGAGATATAGCCAAATAAATTTTGAAGTTGTATGGCAGCTACCCGAACCGGTACCCCGATCATGTCCAATTTAAATAGGGTTCTGGCACTTACTACAATAAATCATTTGTGAAAATTTGGTGAACTTAGCTCAATTAGTTTTTGAGTTATCGTTGGGACGGACGGACGGACGGACAGACAATGCTAAATCAACTCAGAATTTGACGCTGATCAAAAACATACACTTGAGCCTATATATAAGACCGTTATTTCTTAGCGTTACAAACGGTAAGGCAAATTTAGTATACCCTTCGAACATACGTTCATACGGGTATAATAAGGAACTCTTTTTTGTTTACAACCCTACACGTGCATAATATACGTACATATGTATGTATTATTGCAAAATATACGCATTGATAGCCTATAATTTTCTTCATCATCTCCGTTTGTATGCATAATATGGGCAGTAAGTTTTTTATAGAATGCAACCATTTTCATCAAGAAGAAAAGTTCTTAACATAATGTAGTAAAGTACAAAAGGATTTTTAAAGAGAAAGACAGAAAGAGGGTTATAACATCGTTGTGTTTGATCTATTATTTTATTAATTTAATATATTATATAATATATTATATGTATATGACACGTATATGCATATGATTTTGAGAAATTTTTTGATATTAATATCATGCTCTAAAGGACAATACGAGAACCATACATTTTATACAGAAATTAAATTTTTGAGATATTTTTAATATTTTTAGTTCGATTTGAAGGCTAATTTTTTTCTTAAATTCAGAATAAAAACTTGATCTATAGTGAATTCACGGAGACAATATTGCGAAGCTAGCAAAACATAAGGTTCAATCCAACAACGGCCACTCACTATTGAGAAGTTAGAAAATCAATAAAAATTTTCATATATTGCAATTAGTTCAGAGTGTTGCATTCAATGTCTTCTTTCAAATGTTTCCTAGGACATCTATGGACTTTAGAGACTGCCGCCTTGAAGGAACGATTTTTAAATAATTATTTTCCGAACAAAACTTGTAGAACTTTTATCTTTTGGACGATATGTCAAGGATTTTCAGAGATTTTCAAAACGTGTACCATCGATTTTCCATTATGTCACTGAATGAATTTTGCAAATTCCTTCATGACATTTATAGGTGCTAAATGAATGACAACTTACTAGTAGATATGTTTACAAGCTGTAACTATTCCCAATTCAAAGACTTTAATGTCAAAAATCTCTTGGCTTCTTTTCACTACTATCAAATTTTGCTAAAATTATAATTGTGAAAATTTGTGCGTTATAGTAATTTATAGAGAAATAGTAAACTCGTTAACGATCTAAAGGAGTCACTGCACAAATAACTAATCACCTAAAGCAATCTTAAGTAATATTGGTTATGTTTCAAAATTTTTTAAGCTGATCTTCCAACAGTTAATGATCTTCCAACTCTAATATTCTTAAAATTTCAATATTCTGCCGCCCTTTTGGGTTTACCTTTTACATATTATATACTATTTGTATACTGCTTTTCTTGCAAACTATGTTAAAAAAAAATTATTGTAAAATTTTTCATTTTTTCAATTATTCGAATAATGTGCCCTCTACTAGCTTATTCAAATTATTAAAATATTATTTATTAAAATTATTCAAATTCAATTAAATAACTTTGAAATTATCAACTTAAATAAAGCAATTGTATATAACTGTTATTCAAACAATTTTGGATTATAATCAAAATTTTTTGTTTAAAAATTCAAAAAATATTTTTGAAAATTATTTCACAAAGTAAAATTCTTTAACTAGACAAAAGAAAAACCGTAACTTCAGCGTCACCACAATGTTATAAGTAGATGAAAGTTATTTTTATACATTTACATATCTACATATGTATATACGTAAAGGCATTATTTAAATATTTAAGAAAATGTTAAAAAGAATTCAATCACCCGAATTCTAATTTACTTATCTATAATCTATATACATACATTATATAAATATGTGTATATACTAATCTTTTAAAATAGTAAGAATTTCATACCTTCCTCCTAACGTATTTCAACGTATTAGTCATGTTTTTCTTTCGCCATTTTCTATCAAAATGTTGGTAGAAAAACATTAAAGCTAAATAAACTCTTTTAAATATATTAAGTATATCCAAAATTAAGAGACAAGTAGACTTACCTACAAAAAAACAAAAGAAAATGAAGAGGAAGAAAAAAGTTAATTTAACACTTTCTATATCATTTGTTTTATTTATTCAAGACACATTCAAAGGAAAAAGGAAATGAAATATATCTATTCTATATAGATGTAGTTATATACAATAAAATGTAAATGGAAAATAATAAGCACATATATGGTGTCCCTTTAGTAAATAAAAATAGGCTCAATTTAAGGATAAAATATAGTTAACAATGCCATCCGAAAAGTCCCTTTTTTTTTCTATTTCATTCTTGATTATGTGTACTTAAAACATACCATTCACAATTTGATTTTCTCTTTTCACAAATATTCAAATACTTATTTCATTGTAGTACTTTATGTATAATAATAGGATACGGAAAATGAAAACAATTTTTCCTTTTATTGTTTTTTCTTATTTTTTATAGTTCTCGACTTAGTTTATATTACTTGATGATTATAATATGTGTACACAATATATATATACATACAATAAACATGAAATCATTTGAACTTACAACTGTATTATAAGTATGTATGTAGGTATATAATAATGTAAATATAACCTATTTTTACTCTAATTTTGTAAAAAGTACAAAGCACAAGCATAGCCATACATAATATATTATTATAAAAATCTATTTCAACTTAAGGACTTTGATATAATATGTATGCACATATGTTTTCGCTAATACATACGCTTATATACAAGCATAGAATTAATATTAAATATTTAATTTGAAAATTTTGTAATACGTACACGACTATTCAAATATATTGTAGAACTGAATGAAAACTTAATTTGACTGAAACTCTGAAGCCAATATAACGCGTGATTTAGAAATACTATTGATTTTTCGTGAAAGTTCTCAATTTTCTATATAAATTTTTTAGTGTATACAAAAAATATGAAGAAAATAAGCACTTAAAAGTTAGTATTAATTTAGTAATTAGTTTCTTTTATGTTCAAATTTCGACCCGTTGACCGAAAATTAGCATTACAAGCTATTTTACCACGGGTCGAATTTACACATTTGCTTTTATATTATCAAGTGATTTCACTTTAGAAACCCTTTGGTCTATGCCTGAATTTATTTAGATGAAACTTTGGTTATTGTCGTTATAGTCACAGTCTAAATTACT